TCATTCCTGGGTCACCAAACCGACACAAAGTTTAAACCTGTGAAACACAACTTCAACGTTAAATCCCGAGAAAAACTTTTAACTTGACAAATTATTTCACAACATCGTTTTAAATACAAAATTGTATAATAAAATACTTTTTATTGTATTTAAAAGATAAAAATATAATTAGAATAAATTTATTATAAACTTATCATCTATCGTAGTTTACAATTAATTGAACTTACCGTCGACTGTATTTACTAATTACTGAACTTACCGTCTATCATAACGTTAATTTTTGCACTTACCGTCAAGTGTAAGTAATATTGAATTTACTTACCGTACTTACCGGCGTATGTACTTACCCACAGTAACTGCAAACAGACCTTACTGTCATTTGTTATTCCGTTGTTGGCACTTACCGTCAGTTATGATAATCATTGATTAAAATTACCGGCAGTAAATTTAGACAATGAAAACTTACCGTCGACTAAATTTAGCGCCATTTCTTATTATATTGCTGGTACTTACCGTCAGTTTTAATGATAATTGAGTAAACTTACTGGCATATGTACTTACCGGCTGTAGACAGTTAGAACTTACCGTGAACTAGATTTACCGTCATGTTATGGATAGACTCGAAAATTGATGTTACTGCTATCGATTACACTTACCGTCAGTTATTTTTGAATTCAAATTTCCCCTAAAACTAAGAAAATGGTCCTCTCTATTGTTAGTATTATTATTATTTTTGACTGGAGAGCATTTTTGACCCGTTTGGAGCGATGCCACTGGGGTTTGACGATCCATCTCATTCTTGATGGACTCATTACAGCGTGAGTGGGCGAGCAAATGAAATGGTGACCGAACGGTCGTGTTGGAATACGTTCCAGGTAGTTTGGCGCAACGACACGCGATTGCCTTGAAGCTTTACTACAAAATTCTGATCTCAACCGGAAATTGTATTGGAACATCCCCCTACCCCCTCTCACCTTCTCTCTTGTGTGTAATGTATCGACATGAGGACACACAGCTTTCTATCTGTTGTATCGTAAAAATCGAGTACCCTGTTTTACGCCCTCGTACATTCAGAGTTTATATCTAGTTATACTTATATATATATATGTTGTTGAGAGTAATGACTCGCTATCGAAGTCGATATATCGAATATCTGTTTTTCTGATGGTATCTTGAGAAAAAGTATATAAATATATTGTTTGTGTGTATGTGTAAAATCTCATTGGTGTGAACTTTGGAATGATAAGAGGGGGGTATGAAACCGGAAACCAGGGTTTGCAACAAGGGAGCATATATATATATATATATATATAGAGAGAGAGAGAGAGAGAAAATAACCTGTGTTGGTAGCCAGGTAAGCCGATAATCCACGGGTCAGACAGCGTCGAGAAGCCGTTCAAGTTTGCTTTAGCTCTGCTTCGATGTCCCTTCGTTGACCTCCTCCTGCTGCTACTTCACATTTTAGACTCGATGAAATCACTTATTATCTAAGTTTCACGTAAGTCTAGACCTCCGGCTAGATTCTCCAATATATATATATACATGAAAGGTGTCAAAGCATTTAATGAAATCTACCACCAAGATCGAGTTTTGCAAACTAGAAATGGCTTAAAACTTTGGCAAGTTATTTTCCGCAATCCGTGCGTGTAAGAGAAATTTCTCTCTCCATTTAAAACATAATTGAGGATTAGATTGAGAATCTTATTTTCGAATTTTATGATTATAAGAAATACACAAATGATGATGTAATTTGAAAAATACTACAGATAAATAAAAACTAGATGATGTGGAACACTGCGAAGCTTGGATTTACCGTCAATGATTGCACTTACCGTCATTGATTGCACTTACCGTCGTTGACTGCACTTACCGTGATTGATTGCACTTACCGTCGTTGACTGCACTTACCGTGATTGATTATACTTACCGTTATTGAGTGCACTTACCGTACAAGTACAGTCGACGGTAAGTACTTACCGTTTAACTTACCGTGAGTATAAATTAAATCTAACGGTAAGTGCAACTCGTTAAATTTACCGTCAATTTAACAATTCTCAACGATTTTTTGACACTTTTAAATAAAAATATTTTCGAGCCAAGTCATAAATTGAACTTACCGTCGTTTTCAACAACTATCAATTTGCACTTACCGTTCTTGTTATCAACTGTCGATTGAATTTACAGTTTAAATCAACTATCAAGTGTATTTGATTTTTTATTGCTACCGCAAAATAAATAATAAATAACTATGGGTAAAAAAAATATTAAATATATTCTTTAGTATTTTTTTTTATCAAAAAAAAAAAAAAAAAATACTCTTGTTTTTTGTTAAAAAAATATTATATGAAAGAGAGTGTTATCACGCGAAGCTCCGAGCGGTGACGGTACAAGTACGGACAAGGCTGACGCCCTTCAGGACTCATAATACAGGAGAGGCAACCCTGGGGAAATTTAGCAGACGCCGTGCAAAACCGTTGTTTTATAAGCTTATACATTGTACACGCGAGGCCGGTCTCTGAAAACAGGAGGTGGTTGATAGAAGCATCCGTGTTCTCAGCGTCGGGTAACAACATTAACATTAACTCTCGCACTGGCTATATATGTATGTATGTGTGCGAACGAGCTCTGCTTTTAAAAACAACATCCTGACAACGGTCTATATATATATATATATATATTTATACGTATACCCAGTGATAAAAGACATTGTGGTGTAAACCTGACAATAAAATACATCACTGTGTCAATTAACACGTTTACATTTAAGAAAATCTCGGCGAAATTTCTCCACTATATAAATTGCATCGGGGCTTTAAATCATTTTCACGATTAAATGACAGGTTTAGAGAGTGAGACAGAGAGACGACTGTTATATTAACGTGAAACATGATAAATTGAAATTATTATTTATTATTTCTAAAGATCAAATATTGAAAATTAAAAAATTGAATTTTCTTTTTTTCATTAAAAATAAATAAAAAAAAATTTTCTTCTGAAATAAAAAAAATATTTATTACAGAAACTATTTGGGAATATTCAATAATTCCTTAAATATTTTGTGCTATTTATTTATTGGATTATTTTCTTTTTACTGTAATAATTACTTGGTCGTAAATTTAAAAAAAAAAATTCTTAAAATTTTTATAACTTCATATATTTGTGTTTCGTGTTTGTTCGGTATTGAGGAATTTGACTTCTGATCAACCGCAGAGGTTTGAATTGATTGGTCAATAAAACTAACAACAGGGTGCGCAAAAAGTCAAACATGAAGTTCTAGTGTATATAACGAAAGACCGAAAGGAAGGGGGGGAGGGGGGGGGAGAATCGCCATTTATTTGCCGAAAGGTGTTTTCACAGAAGTGCTGTAATTATAGACCCAGGAGTGCTGTAAAAGGCCCCCCCAAAAAAAACTTGTTATCGCTTCAAGCAAATGATTACGTGCTGAGAGAGAATCTTCGTTGAGGAATTTAGGCTTAAAACCATTTTTGCCTTTTTTTCCCTGTTTCCTCTCTCTTTCTCTACTTTTTTTTATATTCTCATCATATATAATGAGAAAGTATTAGATTTGTGTGAAATTTTTTTTTTTTAAATTTGCTGAATACTATTTTTATTTTTCTAAACGTGTGATAATTATTTTCAAAAAAAAATATTGTTTATTTAAAAAAAAAAAAGATTTCAAAAGAATTATTATCCAATTTACAAATCCATAATTAGATCATCATTGTGTAACTAGTCGCCCTATTATTACAGTTTAGATTTTATCTCAAATAGCTTATTTGACAACGGGCAAATAATAGCCAGTAATATCTGAAATATCCGGATCTTATCTTCCCCCACTTGGTTCATTTATCTCGAAACTGGTCCATTAACGTCCGAAATGTACTTAAAATAGTTTTATAGACCTTTTACTTTATACTATATAATTATAATTTATAATATAATTACAATTATAAAAAATTACTATTAGGATAAAATATAAAATTAAATTAAATATAAAATATCTTTTAGAAATATTCCATTGAAATATGGGGAATATTTTTATTAATATTTGTTCGGAATATTAGGAATATTTTTTTTTAAATATTCCATTGATAATAAAATAAATTTACTGAAATGAAACTTATCACAAATGGTGACAAATCTCGATGAAATATTTGCAATTTTATTACTTATGAAATTGTGGTTAAAAAGAAAGAAAGAGGGAGAGAGATGGTCCATTTTAAAAAGAGACTCGAGAAAACCGCCGAGTCATTCAAGTTTTAATGGAAGGAAGTTGGTTCTTATTGAACTTCAATCAAGATGATGAAAAGCGTTTAAAGTCATATGGTTGAGTTAAAAAAGTTTGTGCAAACGTAGATGAGCTTGTAGAAAGAGGAAAGTGCGAGTAATTCGTAAAGAAACCACCGGTGCCGGACAGGTGACATATTCGTTTCCGGTTTTTGTAACATTTTCACGTTCTCATCTCTCCCTCTCTTTCTATTTCTCTCGTAGAAATTTTCTTTCCCCTCAATTCCTCTCTCTCTCTCTCTCTCTCTCTCTCTTTTCTCTTCCATGTGTCAGTTTCTCTATTTTGAGACGACTGTCAGATTGACTCGTCCACCCCAGATTTACAGTTGTGTTATAAGAAAAAAAAATGAAGAAATAAATCACACTCTGCTTCTGAATTTTCAATTTCCGGTCCTTGGAAAAATATGTATTTGAACGCTTTTCAATGTGATCTTCAAATGAAAGGCTTTTTGTCCAACTGATAAGATTTGTCTCATGATAGAGAAGTCAGGAATGGAAAATTTCACTTTTTTTTCTACTGTAGAAAAATATATATTTATTTTTTATTCATAGAAATTTTGAAATATTTAAATATTTTTCAAAGTTGTTACAAAATTCCAAAAATATTTCTAATATATTCCTGTGAAATTACAAGAAACAAAAATTCAAAATATTCCCACAATGTGTCATAAAATTATCATTAACTTAAAAATAAATTTTTTTTAATTTTCCAGGACCACCACAAATCGCCAGAGCTGTTCTTCAGGGTACTGCGGAGTTGCCATGCGATATTCGACCGCCAAGGCAAAATGATTCAGCCACCCTTGTCGTTTGGTACAAAAATGACATCACGCCAATTTACAGGTAAGTTCATTATTATTTATTATTATATATATTATACATTTCCGGTTAAAAAAAACATTTTCTTAACAAAATAAGTGACATTAAATTTCTCACACTTTTTTTAGCATTATTTTTTTTTCACCCTATTGAAACTATTACCTAAATAAGTCCTCCAATTATTTCATCAAATAATAATTTCTTTCATATTAACTACAATAGAAAAATATAAAAGTTTCATACAATAGAAATTTTTTTTCGATGAAAAAAAATACTTGTAGAATTTAACAAAGAAAATATGTTAATCAGAAACAAAACAAAATACATTTCTCTTTGATAAAAAAAAAGAAAAAGAAAAGTTTTTCTTTTTAAAATAAAAAAAATAGGTTGATGTTTGTCTTTGAGAAATTATTGGTGCAAATTGTTTTTTTTTTTTTTTTTTTGAAAGGAAGGTTAAAGTCTTAAGATCCAAGGTGATAATTATGTGCTCACGCATGTAAGGAAAATTGCTCTAATAATTTTCATTTTACTTGATTAAATCCCGCGGTGCATATAATTTATAATTGACGACAACGTGGATTGAAAAGTGATTTTAAAAAAAATGTCAGAGCGCGATTAAATCTTTGGTTAAATTATTATATTACATATATCGTGTAATTCTAAATAGCATGGAATATTTTATTCACATTCCAGGAATATGCCATTGGAAAATTAGGAATATACTAAAGGAATATTTAACAATTTTCCAAGGGAATAATTAACAATATTCTTTTGGAATATGAACCTTTGGAATGTTCCTGAGGAATGTTCCAGGAATATTCCATTGGAACATTGAAGGAAAATTGTATTCCATTATAATATAATATTATATATTTCAATTGTATATTTTTTCAATATTCTAATGGAATATTCCATAAATATTCCAACTAAATATTTCTGGAAAATTCCTCAGGAACGTTTCAGAGGTCAGAAATTTTTATATTCCTGAAATATGGATATAATATTCCAATGGAATGTTCCGAATACTCCAATGGAATATTCCAAATGTTCTAATGGAATATTTCCAGAATGTGAATGAAATATTCCGTGCTATTGGAAATTGTATTACATTGTTATTATTATTTTTATTATTATTATTACATATCAGGAAAATTTGCGTCTAAATTACGAAATCGATATTATAAACTGATGGTTGACCACGCGTTTACGAGAAGGCCACGTGTGGCAAAAGTTTGCATTAGAGAAGGGCAAAAATTTATTTTATAGGAATTTATTGCGTCTTAATTTTCCAAACAATTGAACATTAATGCCAAAAGATGTTACGGCTCTCGTTTTTTTTTCTTTTCTTTTTTTATTCTCTCGCATCATTCCCATGGGTGGCTTTAGATCCTTTATCTTCTGTACCAAAATTCCCATCATCCAACTTCTAAAATGACCATCACATTTCTTCCCTAAAAAAAGAAAGAAAAATTTCTCGTTTCAATTCACATTTTTTTTCATTGTTTAGCAAAAGTTTATTTTTTACTGAAAATATTATTTAAAAACATTTTTTATATTTCTTTATTGTTCAAAAAAAAAAAAAAAAAAAAAAAATTATTTAATTTACAATTATCCATTGTTGCAATCATTTATTCATTTGGAAAAACAACACTAAAAGTGTTAATTTTCTTTTTAAGTTTACAAAAAGGGAAACGACCTTAATAGTGAAATTTATATAATGAATAAATGACAGAAAATATTGTTTATTTTGCAATTTTGAAATTGACTCTTGTCAACGAAATGAAAATATATCATTTTTCATGGAATCGGATGAAATTTATCTTGTCACTATCTCTCTATATATTTATAGACATTGTCTGGACCATAGTAAAATGATATATTACATTTAAGAGATTACTTTATGTCACATTCCCTTAAATTAGAAACTTTCAGATTTATCTGTAGTTTTCGTGTTTCAACCCTCCCTCCCTCCCCCCTTCTTCCCTCCAACTTCCTATAAACAAAGTCACGCACATAAATAGTGCGCATATATGAATTATATATAATGCGTGACATATTTTCTTATCAAAAAGTTAGAATGGCGATAATCTTGTCGTCTAGGTCGTTTATTTTGTTGGCTGAGGGAATTTGAATTGCTTCGGGCAGATCATAAATTGTTTGAGTGACTTATGACTCGTGAGGATAAAGTCAAAAAATTTATCTGTAAATTTTCCTAAACATTGTGCGACATTTTGACACGGTAGAAGATTATTATAACTTTGCAAAAACTTTTCTCAATTTATTATAATTTATAATAATAATAATACAATTTATTCCTCAATTCGAAAGTTTTCAGTTTCTCAAAAATTTTGTCAATTGGAATATTCAAAAAAAATTTATAAATAATATATCTCCAATTATTATTTTTAACAAATATCACATCATTTTATAATTATTACATTGGTATATTTAATTTTAAAACTTATTTGAAAATTCATTTAAAATTGGAATTTAATTGAATAATTCATTTAAATGAATATTTTAAATTCTAATTTGAGAATTATTATGTAAAATTGAAAATTAATTATAACCTTAATTATCCGGTTTAAATTTACATTTAAAACAATTCTCTTTAAATAATACTTCAAAAAAAAAATGTCCAAGGGAATATTCCTGTAACATTCCATTTGCATATGAATAAAATATTCCATAGGAACGTTACAAAGAAGCGAACATGATAATATTCCTATAGAATATGGATAGAATATTCCTTTGGAATATTTTCAATGTTTCAATGGAATATTCCAGAAATGTGAAAGGAATATTTTGTACTATTTAGGAAGGATCTTTTCAGATATTATTTTGTTAAATATTCCCGAGTATTACTGGAATATTCTAATGAAAATATTGCAGAATAATTTTTAAAATAATTTTATCACAAAAGTTTGAATTTTTTTTTTTTTTAAATGAAAAAAGTAATCCTGTCTTAATTACCGGTAATTCTCTCGGGAATTTTTTTTTTTTATTTTATTTGATACGATTGTAAATACGAAACCTTAACCCATAGGTGGTGTCAAATTTCAATACTCAATGGTCGTAAAGCTCGTATAGACAATAATTTCGAAGGGTCAAAGAGAGTGACGACAGAGTGAGAGAGTGAGAGAGAGAGACTAGATAACGATAGCAAGGAAGGGTTTCAACGTTGAGTATAGTGTTCGCATTTGGCAAATGGAAAGTGAACATGAAATGGCTCTTCGTGGTATAAATGTTGCATAGGTTACATTGTTGTGACATGCGCATAACGACAATGTTCCAAAGTGATTCAGTTGAGGTATTGTCAAATTCATGTAAAATCATTGAAAATTCTGGATAAATTTTATTTTTAAAGAATTAAATTTTTCGCGAATACTCCACTGAAATATTGCAGGAATATTTATCACAGTAATATATTAATATTTCAATGGAATATTTCCATAATATTACAATATTACAATGTAATATTGCGATAATATTCCAATATTTCAATGGAATATTACGTTATTATTCCATTATTCCAATGTAAGATTCCGTTAATATTCTATTATTCCAATGTAATATTTCATTGATATTTCAATATTCCGATGGAATATTTCGTTACTATTCTAAATTCCAATGGAATATTACATTACTATTCCATTATTACAATAGAATATTTCAATGAATATTACGTGAATATTTCATCAATATTTCCAATCGATATTCCTAAAAATATTCCAATGAATATTCCTCAAAAATATTCCAATAGACTTGAAAAAAACTTGATTATTTTTTTAGTTAGTCAAAAAAATGTTAATAGTCGATAACATTTTTCCGGCGATATATATTTAAGTATATAAAAATGTTTGCAGCACATAAATCGTAAATCCCTTCATGTAGGTTTTTTTTTTTTTTTTAGAGGAAAGTTAATTTAGTTTTTAAATCGAGAGAAATAAAAAGTATGTCGCAGTAAAAAAAAAAAAAAAAAATATGAAGTGTTGGTGTGTGGTATCTTTATCTTGAGTGAAGTGGCACACAATATCCATAAAAGTGTAAATAGCCATTGCTTCACTTCTTGTCGTCATATATACGTGTTAAAAGTCATTTCGAGTATATGTACTCATCTTATTAGCATCGCACGTTGTAACGACATTTTGAGAACAGTAACACTTTTCCGGGACACTCTAACTATATATATTCAGGACACAATATCGGTGGGAAATCAGTTCAGTAAAACTATAAAAACTCGGTGAATCGTTTCATACCCCTCACACGCCCTCTCTCTCTCTCTCTCTCGCTCTCTCCCTATCGCGTCAGGCGTAATTTCTGCGTGGTATTATTGCTTTGCGTGTATGAGGCCGCAGTAAACGTCACATGTTCGCTCGTAAAAGCACCCATCATGCTCACCTACCTACACCTTCAGATTGTAAGGGAATTTCCTCGAATCATTTTCATTAATGACATTATTATCTGCACGGGGACTTCGAACCATAACTTGCCGCCACCCCCCCCCCCTTTCCCCTACCCACTATTACGTTATACCCACAAACGAATAAATAATTCTCTCGCTGCAACCAGACATGTGTTACATTTTCCCCATTAAAATTTCAGATTACATGAATCGTAACTTACATTCATTCCAAATTATATAAGAACCATTATTATTATTATTATTATTATTAGCATCATTATTATTATTAATATTATTATTGTCGACAAAAGATTTATTATTTTCATAAATAATTGTAGAAATATAATAAAAGAAAAGAAAAAATAAATTTTATTTATGACACAAAAAAGGAAAAAAGTTGGTATAAATATATCCTAATAGCATGGAATATCCCATTCACATTCCTAGAATATTTTATTGTTATATAAATGGAATATTACTTTGGTATATTCTTAATGTTCCAATAGAATATTCCAAGAATATAAGTCTAAATATTTAAGTATTCATAAAATATGCATGTAATATTTTAAATAAAAAATGTTATAAAATATATTTTATATAAAAATTTTACTGTAAAATATCCGTGTAATGTAAATTTAATATTCCAATAAAAATTGTAATCTTTAATTGAAATGATGTGACAATAATATCATAAAAGTTTTAGTCTGTAATTCGCAGATATTTAAATTAAAAAAAAAATCAAAACATAATCCCCACATATGAAAATTAAATATTTATAATGAAATTTTACAACTGTGAACCACGTGAGCTTTTATAAAACGTGTAATTTGTCAAATTTAAGGTGTATGTACAAAATAAGTGCCACTTTGAAAGTCTCTCTTATAAGAATTAAGAATAATAAAAAAAAAAAATCTGGCAAACATAAAATTTTTTTAAAGTAATTGTCGTTAGACACGTCATTGATGTTTTCTAATCAATAAAGTTCATGAACTGGTCACGCCATTTCATATATAATTTCCATTTAATTCACCAAACAATTTTCAACAAAATAAAATAGAAAAAAAAATTTCTTGAGTAATATTTTCAGAATATTCCCAAGGAATATTCAAGGAACAATTTTTAAGAAATGAAACAAATATTCCATTGGTTTATTTGAATCATTGCGGAGTATCACAATGGAATATTTGAAAATACTATATTGGAATATTTAGGAATGTTATGGTGGAATATTTTTTTGGAATATATGGAAATATTACGGTAAAATATTTCAGAATATTATAATGGAATATTTTAAATTATCACAGTGGAATATTGAGGAATATTAGAATAGAATATTTAGGAACATTAAAATTATTTAATAGCGTTATTGTATTTTTATCTTGTTTAATAACTATAATAATAATAATAATTGGTTGTGATTCAATGTTGTATAATTAAATTAACAAAGGGCTTAATTGTTTCTAAACTGTAAATAGAGTGTTATACTATTGCTTAATTTATTGATTTTGTCGCTGGTATTATTATGTTTATACTGAAAACCAGGACAATAGTAGTTTGTTTCCAAATTATGGGCATTTGTTCTACAAATAGAATACAGTCCATTAATATAACATTACTTTTACTTTGGTGTATTAATTCATACATTTTACATTTGAATCAGTACGCAAAATGTTGTGCAAATTTACTTGTGAAATTTTACAGTTGAATAATCGTATTTTATAAAATTAAAATTTTGTTAAAAAAATATTTTAACTCTATCAATATAAAATATATTCGGTTCTTTTTTGGAATATTTGAAAAGTATTCTATTGGAATATTAGAAAAAGAAATCGTTTGGAATATTCGAAAAATATTATTTTGGAATATTATAAAAAAATTCTTTTGCAATATTAGGAAAAAATTCATCTGGAATATTAACATAATTTCTGATATTAGTATGAAAATGGTTTAATATCAAACTGTACGTATTTATCTTGAATAATGTGAAGCAAGTAGTATAACTCGATAGTATAGTCAGACAAGAGTTAAATATGTTCATCAGAAGCA